CACACACACACACACACACACACACACACACACACACACACACACACACACACACACACACACACACACACACACACACACACACACACACACACACACCATACATACATTAGACCAAAAATAGCTCGACATTGAAAGGGTTAACCGACGCTCCCGGGACGTCCCGTGCCGCCAACGTTTGCCCTAAATCGCCGCGTACGCCCGCCGCGATTTACTTCCGATAGCTGCGGCGGTACTTCCGATAGCTGCGGTATTACTTCCGATAAGTTCGGTATTATCCTGACGGGAATCGAAGTCGAGGAGAGGAAGAGGCAGAGGGAGAGAGCGTAGGAAGATATTACCCGCGTATAACACAGGAACGACCTGTGCGATTTCTCTCTCTCTCTCTCTCTCTCTCTCTACTCTACTCTCTCTTCCTCTCCTCTCCCGGAGCCATTTGACGTGCATATCTCAGGAGCTCGCGTGCCGCGGACGTGCAGACGCGGGGAAACGCGCGCGAGTCGGAAAGGGAGCAAGACAGCTCGCTCTCTCTCATTTCCAACTCTCTTCCTGGCGGGCAACCCGGTAGGGATTTGCATGGGACAATATCTCGACTGATTTATCCCCCAGAGCGATGCGACGGCTGGGAAAAGGGCAGACGTGTATTCCGAGGATTTATTTCTTCGGCACTTTACGCGCCACGCCGCGCCGCGTCGCGGCGAGATAAAGAGACGGAAGAGCGTATCCAACCGGGACTTACTTTCAAACGTAGCTCGCGCCGCGCGACATTAGAATGTCCGGCTTACAGCCACTTGCATGCAGCTCACGATCCCGTGCAAGTAAGTGAGAATTCGAACGCGTCGAGCGGAGCGGAGCGAAACGGAGTGGAGCGCATCACACCGCGCCGCTATACGGCCCAGCGCGTTTACGGCCTTTGCCGTTTAGTTGCGCGGACCCCCGTGGGATTTACGGCCCGACGTAAAGTCCGACTCCACATTCACTTCGTCCGGTCCCCGCGTCTTTCTCCTCACGCTCAGAAAGTCTCGTGACTCCTGCTCGTCCTGGGGCCGCAAGAGTGCGTGTCGTGTTGCCCGCAACACGACCGAGTCCATGGCTCATTGGCGATGTCGTTGCCGGCGCGCACCGTTCCGCGGCAATCCCAGTAAAGCATCGTAAAAATACCCTATCTCGCGCTTCGTCCTAAAATATATCCCCATCCATCGCGACGACTTAAGCGACGTTATCAGGAAGGTCATTTCGCCGCCATAAAAGGAGGTTATCCTTCTTCGGCCTGTAAAGGCATCACCATGTGCCACTCGACTGACGCGATGTAAGCGACGACGGAGGATCTCACCGTCCGGTGTACAGTCGAGGCGCTTCGACCTCTCGCGCCCATTTACGAACTCTACCGTGCGAGTGTACGCACGTGCGCGATTTCGCGAACGCGATCGAGGTCAACGCGATAACCACCCGGACAGACAAGGGTGACAGAAAGTGGGTGCGGCGGATCTCAGCCGTCGAATCAGACACGCGCCCAAGCACGTGGGCTTTCAGGGCTGTGTAATTTTCGTCCTTGCTCCGACACTCGCCCGGGAGGTGTCCCGGGCTAGATCGCGACGCGATGATTCCGACAATTTGGGGAAGAGAATCGTCGTCGTCGCCGTCGCGTCGTCGACGGCGGCGTAGTCGTTCGCAGGAGACGACGAGGACGTTGATAAATGCACGGTACCGCAGATGGTCGACCAACGAACGTCTTATTAATAAGTCACACGCCGGGTGTGCTCAGATTACTCAATGCGAAGGAAATCCAGTGAGTTAATATACGCGGAGAAACGCCGCTTGCGGTAATAATTAACGCTCGTTCGCGCAATTTCATCGAAGCCGTACATCCGATCGTTTCTGTAAAATCAGATCTTCGTTAAAACACTTGCAGTTTAGAGGACTGAAGATATATAAATAAACTTTTTGGGAATGTAATTTGTGAGGATTCTATGATAAAAAATGACGTTAAAAAATTGCAAAAGCATAATGTATTATGGAGATATAAGTACTTAAAAAAATTTTTGTTTAAATTAGCTTATTCTGTGGTTTTGCGAAATTTAATAATTTAGTAAAAATGAGAAAAGATAAAAATAAAAATAAAGTAATCTTTTGTTTATAAAACTTTGCTTCATTTATTAAATCTGTAAAACAGATAAAATATTGTTTTCATAACTATAAAATTAATAAAAACATTTTTAGCAATATTTCTTTAATGTTACTTTTACAAAAAAAAACTGTTTTATAAATTCAATGGATGGAGTTAAGCTTTACAAACAAAAGACTATTTTACTTTTATCTTTATCTTTTTTCATTCCCGCCAAATTTTGGAAAAAGCACAAAATAAACCACTTTTTTAATTATATGTATCTCTATAATATTCTTTCGCAATTCGTTTTGCGTCATTTTATCACAAAATCCTCACAAATTACATTTCTAGTAAGTTTATTTATATATTTTTAGTTCTCACTAAACGAAAAGTGTTTCAGCGAAATTTTCCCGCACGCAAAGGTACTTGGTCTCCTTAAATGAAGCCACGAAATCGATTTCGATGACTCCAAGTACACGCACGGAGGTGTGGAGGTTATATACACGAAAATCGTGTAATTCTCAATCTAGTAAATGTCCGGACGCCGTGTATACATGGGGAGCAAAAGGGAACGCTGAAGTTGGTAGGAGACTTCATCGTCTGTCGTTAGACTCGAGTACATACACACGTACACAGTCGGCTGACGAGAGTTTCATCCCGGCCAAGTTTGCTCGGGTTTCCGCGCGCTAATTACTTGTAAATCTCTTACGAATAACATTAGGCATGAGATTAATTTCGCGCACGAGAGAAGGTGCAACAATTGATGCGCGCAACGCTGATGATACGTTGGTGTGTAATTGATCTCATTGAATAAAATTATATAACGTGAGCGTTGTTGCTGATAGAAGGAGCCTCGATAAGACGATTTGGAACTCTGATCCGATTAAGATTTTTTCACGCGCCATACCAATCGAGCTATTTGCGAAATACGTACTCATCGAGTCGAAATTTTGCTTTCACCTTAACCCTGCTAATTTCATCAAACTCGAAGGATCTCGGAACATATGATCCTCCAAATTCAATGAAATCGAAATGGTAGAACCGACATATTTCGGCTCAGGTTAGCTTGAAACATATGAGACTCTTTCCGGAAGAAAGAAGGACGACACGAATTAAGATTATATTGAGCTACATTAATCCTACAGATGTCGTCTGTTTTGAAAATTTCCCATTAGCTGTTCGAGTCCGACGGGATTTACAGAATTGATGAAGAAGCAAAATTTCGACTCGATGAAAACCAAGTCACAGTACACTGCGATCGCGTGAGCTGAGAAGAAATCGACGGCGCGCAGTCAAGCGATTTAATTTCATTTCTTGAAATTCCGACGCTCCCTTCCTCTTGTCCGAAAGGAGAGAAAATTTCATTTCGTCGAGATGCTGCGAACGTCGGGGAATCAAACGTACGTCTGAACTTTTCCTCATTATATAATATATATGTGTATATATATATATATATATATATATATATATAGACACACGCATACGCGCGCACACGCAAAGCCATTTCACGCGATGCATTATTTATTCGGACGCGATTGGATTGAAATTGTTTCTCTTTAGCATTCCTTCGAGCGGTCCGCGGTAACTTTACTAATTCTGAAAACGTTTCCTCGAGAACTTGATTAAAACCGGTACAACAAACTTGTCCGAATAAATTAATTGACTTTATGCTCTCGGCGTTCCTGCAGAGGGCTGCGAGAAGCTCCGTCAAATTTAATCTATCAAATATTGCAATTGATTGCGCGCTCTCTTTCTCTCACTCTCTTTCTCTCCACGATCTCTTGCGTCTCGATAATCGGAATACGCGCACGGCGCGTACATAAATTACAGTAAATTATAAAATTATATCGATAACACTATCGCGCAGCGCAACGTGGCGTGGCTCTGGAGTTGGTGTGTATTTATGAGTTTTCCACATTTGTAATTTCAGGCCGCGTGCGTGTGATCCCGTCGCGAGGATATAACAACTTACCGTAAATCCGCGCATTCGGTCGTCGAATCGCGAGCAAAAGCTTTTTCGATGCGACAACACGCCGAGATACGTGAGCCGCTCGCCAGCCGTGTAACTTTGATATTTACAATGCATTTTTATCCGAACTGACGTATTTACGTGCGTTTGAACTTTTATTTGAAATATCGCGCCGCGACTCCGAGACCACCTGGTCCAGAGACCAAGATTCCTCTTCCACCAAAGACCAGAAATTTTACGAGTATTATTACGGAGAAAAAGATACGTCGTATGTCAAGATATATATATATATATATATACATACACACACACACACACACACACACACACACACACACACATACACAAAATTTATGTAGTGTGTGTATATAGAGTGTCCTATGACGAGCCGTATATACTAAGAGAGTATGTTCCTGAGATTAATATGAGTAGAAGAACTTATTGTAAAACAAGTTTCGATGAAATTCACAACAATTACCTGGGTACAGGCGTTCAAAGCTAAAAATTAAGTTACAATTTTTGAAATGCCTTATTAAAAAATAAAAAATCCAATGATAACTAAAAAATTATAAAAATAAAAATAATCCAAGAGAAATAAAAATTATATAAACTGTTCAAACTGACGTCATATATCGCGTACTGTGATCTAAGATGGATAGAGAACCGTACGAAGAGCTTGTTTCTTATCGGCATGCGCTGTATTAATATAGGTCCATCGACTGCTCTTTGTCTGAAGGAGCAATCTCCTTTCAGAAGGTTAAGAAAGGCTAACCAGATTTGGTTCTTATCTTCAACTGATCCCAGGGTTCTCTTAGTATGTACAGATTGTTATGGGGCACCCGGTATATATCGCGAGCGTTTCGCCGATAATATCGCGCGATTCACGTACTAACGGTGCACGGTTTTTATTCGTGACTCACCCACCATTGAGCACGTGGACGAGGACGCTGGCCGACTCGGCTGTGGATGGCGCACAGGTGTAATTGCCGGAATCGGCCGGCAGCGCTCTGCTGATCAGGAGACGTGACGTTCGCGTTTGCTTCTCCGTCACGACGCTAATGCCTCCTCGTTGACTGTAGTTTATCACGTTGTCGCCCTTATACCTGCAAAATCGTCCGGGATAAAGCGAACTATTGGCGAGGCGCGCGAAAAAACGCGGAGTCATATTGTCACACTTTTGTAAACCATGTTCTTCGCTGAGCCATTAAACAAAAGAGGACACGAGCGAAGGAAATTAAGAAAAAAAAAAAAATGGAAGAAACGAATGCTGCAGCGCGATTAATAAACATATTCAACCAGCCCATATTCGCCATTTTAGCTACATTTTTTTCATTACTAATTAATTAATTAATTCAAAAAAACACGTTCCCGTTTTCCCGGGGAAAGACCTCGGCGTGTCATATATTTCTAATTCCCGATTAATATAATAATAACAAGTGCAAAAAAGCACGTTGTCGACACGTCGCGACAAAAGCACCGATTGCATTTCTCACATGACTGTTAATTCAGAAAACGCATGAACTGGGACGTGTTTTCTGAATTAATTTACGCGTCTTTTACTGTTAATTAATTTGGAAAACAGCACGTGATTGGCTGAAAACTTCGTGGTGACTAGCAACCTGGCGATGACGAGGCGTCCGCGGGGGCGAACAAACGAAAGGATTCTCGGATCGGTGCATTTGCGCGGCATGGTGGATTTATGGATTCTAAAGGCCATAACTTGGAGGAGTAACTCCATCGGAGATTCACTTTATCGGAAATTCACTTTATGGACGCTCGCGTTGAGAAATTTTTCGATAAAGCCAGATCCCGCCGCCGCCGCCGCCGCCGTCGGTGTCGACAAACCAGTGTAGATTTGGATTTCACGAAACTGCGAGCTACGCTCGCTTCGCCTATCGAACAAATTCAATCGCGCTATCGTCAAGGGAGAACGCTCAAACTCACCAATAGATGAAGGATGGTGGCTCCGGCGTTTGCAGCACGATGCAGGTCAGATTGATGTCGCTCCCGCTTTTGATGTAGAGCTCCGAATTGCCGTTGATCTTTGCCTTCGAGACTGCACACGGGACAGAACAAAGTTAAAGTGGTTTTTGACCAGGACCGGTGCCGCCTCCCTCCCCTCCCCCCTCCCACAGCGAGGTCCAGAGCCGAGGTAAAGCCGCGCGCCAAGAGGTACGGTCGCGATTCTCCTTAAAACCGCCGCAAAGCTGCAATTAACCCGCGAGCTTCGGATCGGAAGCGCTCGGAATCGACCGCTTAGAAATTCACTCCGGGAAAAACAAACGACTTTCCGGAAATCACTGTTAGAGCGCGCGGAATTCGTGCAATCGCTTTAAAATACAATCTCCGACCGCCTGCCCTTCCTACGAGATTTCTTTCTCGTTTTTCTTGCTTTTTTTTACTAACGGCAATCGCGAGCGTGATTTCAATATTCCCGCCGGTGCTTACCGCATGAATTCGTTGCCGTTTTCGAGGGAAAAATGATTGCGCGCGAAGATTAATAGCTCGTTTCATTTTTCATGTCGAAACGCCCGTGAGAAGCCGAAGGCCACCGGGATTCATCGGAGTCGGAGCTGGATTTACTCGGCAGGCTTTTGATCGAGTCTTGTTAATTGCGCAGAGAGAGAGAGAGAGAGAGAGAGAGAGAGAGAGAGAGAGAGA